ATTATCCCTTCACTTTAACTCACAGTAATACTAAATATTACTGTGAGTAATATCCTAAATACTAGCCAAAGCACTACTGTTTTGATATACGGTGCAGAGGAACCCACTGGGGATGGGAAACTACCACACATGCCACCAGGAAAGGAGAACTTCCTGGCCCAAACAAATCAGAAACCCTGCTGAAGTCAAAGTAAACTCAGAAAAATTAGAAAGAGCACCTTCTTCTTTCAAAGAAAGTAAATCTGTGGGTAAATTTCATAGATTAACAGAATCTTCCAAATGAGCACTTGTACCAGAAGACTCTCTGAAGGGAAACATGGACACACCAACAAGTTTTTCCTAATATATTCCTCTGTATAAGGGTGCTAAAAATTTTTCAACTCTTATTGCTTTCTTCATCAAATTTGGAGAAGTACAACGACAGGTGCATGGAAAATTCCCTCTGAAAACATGTTCTGGATGCACACATTCTATATTCAAAACATCATATATTGAGCAGTATCTACTGTTTTAACTTCTGTGCATAGTGAGCAGAGAGAGGCTAATATTCTCCACGGAAGGCAAGAAAGAGCAAAACAGAACCAGCATTACTGAAAGTTGTTTTAGGATAGTCTGAGTTGAAGGGTAGTTTCAGGGCCCAGAGAAAGCAAATTCATTCACCAGACAGAAATATAAACAGTCAGGGACCTTTAAACAAGAGACTCATTTTGTCATCAATACACCGATTAATACAAAGTCTCCTCAGTAATTGCAAAGAGGACCTAGTTGCAGAGATAACAGAACGTGAACAGCAAGAGCCTCCTTCCAGCAGGACTCTGTACCACCTGCACATGACACAACAGCTTGTTTAAGGGGGCAGCAAGCAAAGTTGCAGTAATCAAGTCCAGAAAGTCATTAAACACGTGATTCTAGCATTAACCTGTTCCCAACCCAGCAGTACTTTTGATAGAAAAGCCAGGTCAAGAAATGACATGGTATTAACTGAACAAGAGCAATCATTTCTCAAAGTACTGTACGGGAAGGTATAATGCCCCTTTGATCATCCAGACAAAACTTAAAAGCAGAAAAGCAGATTTTGAACTACATCAAGGAAATTTATGCTAGGTATTTGTTTTCAATACTGTTAAAAGTATTTTCTGTTTCTTGAAGGTTTCCCAGCCCTTTAACCATTTTCTCCGATTCCTTTTCAACACTACATTATGGGATGTAAAAGATTCACTTATACTTTTTTTCTTATATGCTGCCTGCAATACAGTTAATATGTACTATGTGTATGTAAACTAATATGTATTATGTATAATACTAACATGTATTATGTGTATGTATACTAACAAAAGCATAAAATCTGTCTGCTGTGAGATTACCTCAGTGCAGGACAGAAGGGTAAGCTGTGGATGCATGTGCATGGTTCTGCACATATACATACCTACAATACTAACACTTGTGCGTGGATCGTCTCCTTCGGGCGGGCAGATTCCTATGCCACAAAACCGGCAACTGTGACATCTGGGACGTACAGGAATGAAAAAGGAATGCCACGGGTGCAACCTAAAGCTAGCAGCTGACCATGCTGAACTATCAGACTACATGAGTTCCCATAAAAACTGTGTAAGGTTTTGTTACAACAAGAGAAGCAAAAAAAAAAAAAAAAAAGAGTTATGGGGAAACACTGAGTAATACCACAATAAACAATAGTCTTATATTTATCCACTAAAATGCAGAGCAAATAGCAACACAGATAGAAATCACAAGGCGCTTGTGGACACTTCAATTCACTCTTGCCAGCTTGGCACAGTGATTAAAAGCCCATCCCATGCCTACACAGTACATCAAGCTTTCCTGGGTAGAACACTCCAATTTTTAAAACCACTGACACAAATGAATAGTGCGAATTTATGAGATTAACTTCTTTGCCCGAAGACTCAGATACTCATACAAGGCTGGAAAAGGAGATCAGTCTTTGGCAAGGTCACAAAACAAGGAGAAAATTGCTCTCCGTAATGTTCTGCTCCTTTCTTCCTTCCCCATCCCCTCCCTAACCAGCACGGTGGCAGCACTGGCACTGAACGTAGACCAATCTCTGGGAAGTTTTTAGTTGCATTTGAAGAAGGTACCAGGTAACTCCGCCTTTGTCAGATCTGGACATCATCTTGTAAATCTAAGAAGAAAATCTGACCCATAGCATTGTGGGTTATTTAATTTAAATGTGAATGAACTCCTAACTGAGCCAGTGAGAAGAGTCCAATTGGCTTCACTGAGTGTGTTAGATCAAATGACGCTATTCCACTGTTTTGGATCACCTGTTTTAATGAGACATTTCCAAATATCTTCATGAAAAGCATAAAGTGGATACTGGCCAATAAAAAAAGAGAATCCTTCTCACTAAGATAATATTTCTTCAACAAATAAGTAATTGCCTTCTGGAGCAGGAACTTTTTCAGAAGCCAGAATTCTATGTATTGTATATGGAAGTCACCAACTAAAGTCCAAAAATAATTACTTGTATTTATATACAAACACATTTACCCAAAAAATTAACTAATAGATTTACTTGGTAAGCCTCAGAAAATACAAGCTTTACACAGAGGATTTCCTGAAAAATGTGTGGTAGACGTTCTGGTTTTCATACCAAAGCCACACCTCCCCATGAATTGAGCTCTTGCTGTAAAAGCAAATCATATTCAATCTTTACAGTGATATCTCAGTCTCTCTCAGAGTGCACCTGAGTGAATATAAGGTGTTTGTCTTAGTCCACAAAAAAGTTCAGTGCTTTTTATACCATATTTGTTTCTTCATAAAAAGTGTCAATATAGAATCCAGTATAATCAACAGCTGGATAATCTTCCTCTTCTCTCTTCTTACAAAAGAGATGGAAATAGCATGGAAAAGATGGTTAAGTAATTTTAGATCCATTGCATTAGAGATGATGTTGCAAAAATTGGAAAAACCTTAATCAATTTGACTTTAAGTGGCTCAGTAAAGTTTGACCAGTAGTCAAGACAAAAAAGACTATGAAAAGACTGTAACTGCAGAAAACAAGACAGCATCAATTAGAGTATAAAAAGTGGAGATTTCTTTCTCATAATACCTAAGGGAAAAACATATTTAAAATTGAAGTTAAAAAGATATTGTGTGAAGGCAATTTCACAGTCTTCTGGTGTAAACTGAGTTAGGTATGTGTAACTATGCCTTCTTTCTGCCAATAATACCAGCCAGTCCTGACTTTCCCCCCAGCCTGGGCCTCCATGTCCTTTGTTGTTCCTTTTGGGTTTTTTTCTATTTTGTGAAGCCAAAGAAGATTCCTCTTTCAGAAAGCCATTCTACTCTTTCTCCGAAATATACTTCTCTAAGGAAATCACCTCACTCTCGGCAGAAATTGCACCTCACTAATTCCCCTCTTAATTACACCTCTTTTTCTTAATTCTGACTTTAACTTTCCTGGTTTAGACAGATGGAAATTGGTTCAGTACGGAATGAGCGTCAAAGTCCTGTCTGCATGGAAACACGAAGGAAGACCACAAAGCAGCTCTTTGTTCATAGGTTGAGTTATTTCAGTAAAAATTTTTGTTATCATTTCTATGTAAGAGTGACCTGTAAAATATGATTTAACTAACAAGCAATCAGTCTAAGTTCTTGCTAATTATGACACACTTAATCTGAAGAAAGAAAGTTCCCACATAGAAATGCATAAAGTGAAAAGGTAAATTAAAGCCAATTTCATTCTTCTAGTTCAAATTCAAATGTACACAAATGCACATTTTGAAACACTACTAGGTACATTTACAATGCTATAAAAACAGTCCTTGCCACCAAAAATAATATAAGAAGCCTGCAACTTTCTCAAAATTTAATTAAACTATAATATCAGTTTTGCACAAGCATCTGTGAAGTTGCATTCAACATAGTAGATAAAACTTAAAATATACTATTTTCTACATTTTTACTTCAAAAGCCAAGAACTTTGAGCAATTACCATAATGTGCTTAGAGCTCAGATGTAATGAGTCCAAATTTATGAAAAACATACTATTTCAGATTTGAGAAGCCTACAAAAGCAGGTTTCTGATAATTAATAAATAAAGAATACGTTAATTAATTTGATATCCATCAATTTTTTTTAAGTTCTTTTCACATGGTAATTCCAATTTTAAAAAGCAGCAGGTTTATTACACTTTATGTGACCGGTCATTTCACAGTTAACACAAAATTCATATTTTGCATGTGCAATGCCAACAGCTATCGTAAGAAAAAGCTATGTTACAAATTACTCTAACAGCAGGATTTTACAATAGATGAACATGGGAGTCATTTATAATGCACTTGATACCATTAAAACACAAATAAACATTTACAGTCTGTGCTAATTAACTTTACTGCTGAATTAGTAGCATTCCTTACTCTTCTTCACTTGAAGAAATATTGCATTGCAAGTATGGCAGTAAAGTTAAATACTGCAGTGCAGAAAAGACTGATGCCTTTTAAAAGCTCTCTCTTGTCCTTCAGAGCACACAGAGCCTTTGGACGTTCTGAGATCTACATGCACTAGGCTCAGTGCCGAAACCCTCCGCTACACATGGGAGGACAGAACGTGTGATGGAGCAGTTAAGGGAGACGTTCTTACGTCTGAAAGAAATGAGCATAGTCTGGTCACTGCACTCGTGCATCTCACCAACATGCAGCATGTATTCTCTAGAGCTAAGAAGCTTCCTCCTGCAATGAGCATGCATGCACACAAGGGCACATTCTGCCAGCTCATGTCTGTCCATGTAAATGGAAGCACACCATGGACAAGGACTAAGCTCTTTAGGTGTTGTCGCAAAGCTCATGAGGTATTTACATGTTGTATCAACGAACACCTCACTGCTTATGTTGTTAACTTGCCTTCCTGCAAACATTGCCAATCCCAGTATTACTCCATCACAAACGTCACTGACTTAGATTACAAGAAGTGTCCAATTGGCTCTCATGAGGAAAAAAAAATTAAGCAGAATCTTGTCTTACCTTTACAGAAGTCAGTGGTAACTTCAGGATCAAGGCTTTGTGAAAGCAGAGAAACAGCTGACAGTAGAATAGCAAAAAGACCGACTGGACAGGTCTTTTTCCTCCTCCAAGCAAAAAGACAGCTCACAAAGGTCTGGGATGCACAGCCTATAGAAAAGTGCCTGTCAAAAGAAAAAGAAAAATGTGTTACAGTTTGTTGAAGGATAACTGTTCACTCTGACCATCAGAGAAAGAGTTGCTAAACTTTTTGAATTCCTTCCGCTCTCATGAATGCCACCTAAGCCGTTAGTTTAGAATAAAGAACGAGGTTCTTTTCTATACCAAGAAAGGGTTACAGTCTCCATCTCTTGACATGATGGGTCCCAATTATTCACTCAAAAATGCGTTATTTACTTCTGTTATTTACCTTAGTTTCCCAAATATTTCTTTACTAAAAACTACCTCAAAACAATTATCTGCACATCACAAACAATGGATGCCCTACTACATCATATAGTAGTAAGAACTGTCCTATTTTACTGTTAAATATCTCACCAAATATATTTGACGCTGTGAGGAATGCTCAACTCTGGCCTCAGAGTCCTCGTACATCTTGACTCTGATGGCCACATTTGCTTATAACCTGGCAAAGACACTGCTATTACCAACACACATACATAGCACTGAATATATACAAATTTGAGTGCATGTGAGTGTATATTTATATAGCCATCTTTGGACAGTTCAGAAAATTGTGTTCTGCATATTGTATTTTCTAGTAGCTTGGTTGCAACATATATTGCCTGAGGAAGACAGGTCTTATTAAAAAAGGATAGACACGACTGACACTACTGTTAGATTAGACAGTGGAATACTAGGAGAAACTCAAATATAGCAAGCTACTGTAATCTCATTTCTGAACTCATTATGCTTTTAGCTCAATGTAACTTTATTAGCATTTGCTACATTACTTCTGATTTCCTCAAGTGTGAATGAAACTAGAGTCCTGTCCATCTGCATAGCAGACTGATGCACAAAATAAAGATCTTGAAACACCCCATGGGCCACATGATAAAGCAAACTCCGAGCCGCTTGTAACATTCAGGGTTGCAGTTCTACAGATGTAGATCCTGACTTGCTGCAAAGGAGCTGAACAACCCTTTAACTAGAGTTGACAGTCCAGAGGCAGATGGGTGACAGTACAAACAAGAGACATTCAGAATACCCAGGCACAGTAAGCCGGCACAGCTTGCTCCTTCTAGGAGAGAGTAATCGATGCAAATCTATGCATTAGTTATGAGGTGTTTTAATTCCAATAACAAACATTCTGTGATTGATGAATTTTTCACAGCTGTTGTCTATATAGCTGTTTAATTAGAGCATGCTGGCAGAGGCCGTTAGTTCTTCATCAAGTTGCCGACTCCAGTGCATTCCACTTTCTGCAAGGGAAGATGACAGTTGGTAGAGCAACTTGGGCGGCTGGTCAGGGAACCTGACACTTGGCAGAGGATCAATGCATTAGATGACAAGCCAAATTCCATTGGCTTCCTAAAAATACTAGCAGACTGACAAATAGAAAGCACTATAACTGCTGGTGCTACTGTCTTTACTTTTCTGTTACTGATGGGCACTAGATCCAACTATGCAGGAATATCTGTTTCATGAAGCTGTTGTTCAGAGCAGGGGAGAGCCAGCCAAACACAGCCTACCGGGAAGGAAACAAAATCAGCTGCCTTGAAAAAAAGCCGCCCAAAGTTCTGGCATTTGCTTTAGGTATTCGACCTTCTGAATCTGCACAACTCCCTTGCTGGGCTATTCCAGCAGGGGAGGGGAATTCCTATCTTAGGTAAGGCTCATGTGACATATGCCTAACCAGAGGCCTTAGAGACGGAGATTCCCAAAACAGGTACAAAACAGAGAGAGCCCATGCCACCGCCTCATTGACGCATGAAATACCTGACTTGGAAGACTTATGTGCCGAGGTCAGCAGGATGCCTGTTTTCATTCACCCTGTGCCTGCATCCAAAGTGCCAACAGTAATGCCACTTGTAAATACAGCTCCTGCACCACAGATATCTGTTCACTAAAAGCTGGGATTACCAAACTTATTCCACATATGCCACCAAATAGCAGTCTAAAGGTAGCAGTTTTTAGATGCTGTCAGGTTCAACCATATTTATACCAGTCACCTACAGACAGAGGCAGCCTACTAACGATTCTCTGAGCCAACAAGACATCCAGAACACTCCTGAAATAGAAGAGAGAAACCTGTTTCACCTACAGCACAGATACTTGCAAAACACCCTACTGTTCACCTTGGGTTTGCCTTAGTTCAAAATCCATATCAGCACCTCTATTTACACTATGAGAAAGTTCAGAATTCAGTCATGAAACTGGGTTCTTGAAATCAGTCAAAATTCTTGTGACAAAAAAAAAAAAAAATCCATGACGTTATTGCAACAAAAGGGAAAAGTTACCTTTCCAGTAGCATCATTACATGTTCAAGCTCATCCTTTCATAATTACAATCTTTTTGAAATGTTTCTGAGAAGTTATTAGATTTGTTTAATATTGAGTCAAATTTAACTTTTTCCTTTTCAATTCTGGGTGTTTAAATATCAATTTGACACAAAACAAAGTTTTTCATCTCATAAATACAACTGCAAAAAGCATCAAAAACTTTTTCCACTAAAAAAAAATTCTTGTTATTATCCATTTTCAGGAGAATTACTTGATAATAAGTATTTGTGACTTACTGTTCATTGACTCATGCAATATACATAAACTACATATTTAACAGATCACTTTTGCAATACAAGAGAGACATATGCATAAATATCTGAACCACTGAAAATATAGTTTGAAATTCTACCAGTTTAGTAAAACCAGATCTGATGGGTAAAGACATTTGCAAAAAATTAACAGGTAAAGTAAATTTTGATCACCTACTATCAGTCTTTTGATTTGCTCTGAGTCTCCACAAAATGTATCCTACGCCTGCCTGATAGCCTGGCGTTCAAATTTTAAAAGTTTATCACAAGTCACTCTGCTGCACTAACTTTTTTTCCTCCTCTATGGTAGTTTTCCTCATCCAGTGGCAGTACCTGCTCTGTCATTTCTAGAGGCAAGAATTGCTGTCCTACTCATTTGCAAAAGCCTCCCTTCCCCATCAGTGTGGAGCTCCCCTGTGACCTGGCATGCCTTACTTCATACAAAACATTACACCTACATCGTGAATGATTTTAGCATGGTTCTGCACATATGGTAGATGTTTCAACATAATGAATTAAATGAAATATTAGATTAGTCTCACCTAAAAGCTTCTCCACCCAGATATTAGCCATTTCGACCCAGGTAGTGTCTTTACATGTATTCACTTCAAGAATAAATGCAGAGTGAATGGTCTTCTAGAGTGGCCCATCTTAGCTTCCTCCTCAACCCTCAAATCTAAAAGGAACAAGACACAATATTGGTTTAACTTTGTGATTATCATTTTGAACGAGGAGTTACAGCAAAAGGTCTCTTGACGCTTTAGAAGTTTGTTAACCCATAAGCAGCTGAAGCAATTTTGCTGGTTGCCTTCTGAGTTTTCTACTCATTTCCGAGTTGTAGAAGACTAAACTCACACGATCGAAGAAAAATCACCAAAGAGCCTGCCGAAACCTGCAGGAACTGCCACTGCCAAGGCCTACCGCACACAGGTCAGCGGCTCTGCTGGGTGCCTTACTTACAGCTTTTCGATATTTGCAAGCAGTGGCATAGAGTTTGACTTAGCATTTGCCATAATACTTTCCTAAAAGGCAAAGGCTGAGTTCACAAGCCTAAGAAGAGAGTAGTTTTCTGCAGCTGAAATCTCTGGTAAACACTTTACTGTTCCTCTTACTAGCAAACTGAAAAGAAAGAAAGGCTTGAGAAAGACAAGACTTACAAACCTATAACCAAAGGAGAGATGGCAAACCTTTCACTGGCTTCAGTAAGAGTAGGATTCTTAGGCAAAGTCATTTAGCATTTCGCACCTGCATATGACTTGCACATTTCTATGAAAGTAAGGAGCCTGATCCTATAGACAGGCATTCCAGAAATTCAGTGTCACTATAGTAAAAGTTTGCATGATTCATATTTATATTTTCTGAACACTTAAGGCAAAAAGAAAGAGGAGAGAAAAGAAAGCCATCTTTGCTGAAAAAAATGCAAGACTAAAAACCACAAAAGCAAAATTAATGGGATCATTTATTTGCTAGTAATTGATGCCCAACAGGTAGCAGAAACTACAGTTTCCCAGACCACCAAGGATCTGTTACAATATAAAACATTACAAAGGAAACCCAGAAGTACAACGATGTACATGCCTCAGAATTTTTCCACTAAAATCAAAGGCTACTTGGAGTTCATTCCTATGATTACCATGTTGTCATATGCTTCATTTCATGTAAGCTAACATCTTTATATCACAATTAGTTTTCTTGCATTCTTTTGTCGTCTTTCCTATATAATAGGAGATAACATAGATCTCCATATTTTCTTAAATAAGTCAGTATGCAGTAATGCATATTTAATTTAAGCCCTGATATCAAAGAAAATGCCACTTAAGTTAAAATTTAAAATCTATACCAGAGAGACCTAATTTAAAACATAACATGTCATACTACCTGTGTTCTTCCCCTGCTCCATAAACATCGGGTTTAGAAGGACCGCCACCATACATTGTGAAGTGGTGTCTTAATGGGGGGGAGAGAGGGGTAAGCGTTTTCTAGTAACGCTTGCTGCATAAGTCTGCCTTCATATCTTTCACTTTTCTGTGTAGAAAAACGTTGTCCATAGGGCTAGCTCTCAGACAAGGGACGGATGCCCGCCCCCTGAGGACACCCCTCCGGCCGAGGCCCCGCACATCCCTGGCTAGCGCTAGCACCAGCGACCACCCCAGCTTTGCCCAGCGATAACGTTTCTCACACTACTTAGGGCCATTTTGTCACCCTGCTCCAAAGCATAAGCCAGAATCACGTTACTTCCCAGACACTGTTCAAAAGCATTTCAGTCCTTGTATTCTTGTATCTCCTCACATCTATTTCTTTTCCTCCAAACAATGAATAACTGTTTGTGAAGAGCAGATGAACAAAGTTCAAGGCAAAAGCTAAAATGCTAAGGAGTTATCTATTGAGATTAACGCACATCAAAATGTTGTGTGAAAATCACAATGCATGTGTTTAATGCATTGAGACGTAGACTCTGAACGTTCATACTGGACAGAGAGAGTGAGAGAAGTTCCTGTCAGTCCCGCTCCTGAAAGACCTGTGGCTTTCAAGCAGGTCGCACACGCGCACTGCACAACTTCGTCCGCAGCAGGAAGAGCTGGGGGCCAGGACCCGGCCCTGGTTGTTCTAATGCGCTACGTATCACTCCTTCCCCTACAGCAAAACTTTGGCAATGCTTAAAAGCCACAGATAACCAGTCTGGCCTCGGCTGCCCTCTCTTACATTTCTCAAAGTTTAGAATAGCCCTCTTCCCATGGACGTATTGCTTAAAGTCCTGGAGCTTTGTGGAGGAATCATCAGCAAATGAGTGTGAAGATAGTGAAGAGACTGTCAGTGCATACATCCTAATTCCTCCTGCTTCTGTGGAGTTGCTACAGATGCAACAGTGCAAGTGAAATCAGAATTTTTTCTTGTGGAATTATGATTACACAAAAGTGGCAATTCCCATTAACCTCTATTTTCTTTGGAACGAGGCAGTATTATTTTTACGAACAACTTCTATGCATAGTACAGCGTCCTTCCTACGGCCTAAATCCTTTGGTATTTTTTAAGAAACAATCATTATAATTTTTGCTTAATCGGATTTACAAATCTATGCCTTCTAAACTAACCTAAAATTAATATACCAAAAGGCTACTGAATCTTTTTGGTGGAATACAGAAGCATTTAGTTGAAAAGATAAAGATCATAACATCAGGATATCAGAGTTTAAAAAAAAAAAAAAAAACAGAAAACACAAGAGGGACAGAGAAATAAAAGCTGTAAGGTCTGGGGGCAAGGGTGGGGGGAATCCAAGCAACTAAGGTATTTCTCACAATTCATTATGATAATAGAATCTCATCTCAAACCCCTACCAGATGGGTATTACATGCTGCACAAACTGGCAACGCTCATACCCAAACACTCTCCATGCTGGAGAAAACAGACTGGTATTTCATGCACATGAATTAAATACTTCCAAAAAATATTCTCCTTCTGGGAGGAACTGATTAGTCAAAATAAATGCATATTTGTGGGTTGTATTTACTCTGGAAAATACTAATATATGCAGATTGATTAATACACAAAGAAGAAATAAGCAGTTAGAGCATATACACATTTGTACATGCATATGTACATGTACAGCATATACACATGTGCCTACACACATTTGTACACCCACATATGGTGTTTTTTTAAAAATATATCTTCTGTTCATCACTGTCCCCCCCAACCAACTCTTTTTATATATATCCTGACCCAGTCACAAGAGTTTTGTCCGAGAACTGTGGGCTTTCACCCAAGCCATATAAAATACAAAGGCCACAAGCCAAATTCTACTCTCAGTTACATGGATTCAACCTTTAACGTCAGAAGATTTGCCTCAGTGTATACCAATAATAGATTCTGGCTGCCCTTATGGACCTGACTTTGTCAGGTGGATGGAATAGGATTGGAAAGCTGTATTTATTTACCTCAGGAAAGTAGAATTCACATCCAGCTCAGAAGAGATTTGAAAGGAGTTTTATGGTCCAAAAAGCTAATCTCTAATGGAATTCCCCACAGCATAACATCACCATAAAGAAGAGTCTTGCACAATTCATCTTTATGCCCTTAATCCCCGCTTAGAAGAGGTCCAGGAACAAACAAGCAGGATATTGCAGAGCAGAGTTAAGGTGTAATTGTAGCAAAGGCACTGGAGTAGGACCTTGAGCCAGTGCTACTTGTTGTCAGCCTGCCCACATGCTGAGGGTTGTCATTCCCCTGTGACTTCTGAGAGCACTGAATTACAGATACAATAGCCGGGAAAGGGAAGGGAAGTAAAAATAAAGTGTCCTTTGAGAGTTTTTAATAAGCCTTACAAAGAACTCACGCAACTTGGGGAAGATGTAAATCACTTCTCAGCTGAAAGGCTTGTTATTAATGCAATATATACAGCTATTTCAAAATTGCCATGGTGGTCATGAGGAATATGATTTTTAATCCAGTAACAAATGTCATATACGATATATATTAATAAAATATATAATATTGCAGTGAAGATAGAATTTCAATGACAACACACCATTAGAGCTGTAAGTAATATTCAAGCCCTATATTATTATCAGAAGATGGGCTGCTTCTTCAAATTAGTGCCTCTGGGAAAGAAAATATACACATTCAAAAAGAAAGCTGCTGGACACTGTACCCTAAAGGGTTTAATATCAACCTATGCTATGCCACTGCAGTGAGACACAGTTACAGCACCAACAGAAACATAACATTACTTCACCAAAACAGATATTTAATACTTGATAGCAAGGGCCTCCTATGAAAATGGATATGTGTTAGGCAGAATAAATAATAGGCCTGTATTTTAGGATGCCAGTGGCAGAGCAGAGGAAGATATTCATAGGACAGCAAGATAGAAAACGTGGCTAAGAGGGGTGGGGGGGTGGGGGGGTGTGTGTGGGCGGATTTAACAAGAGCACTTCAGAGCTCTTTGCTCTGAGTTGCAATTGGCAAGCATGCTATGCTCACAAGAGTTTAGTGTCTGGACTCATTTAAATAAAAAGCTAATTAGTAGTACTAGGATGGTGACTGTCACCCCCTAAGCAGTGATGCATTGAGATTCAATGTTTAAGTCAAAAGATTCACGGGGATTATGCAGACTCCATTCTTTTGAGAGGGATGGCGTGAAGTTGTTTAAATGAGCTTCTCTAAGACACTTCCTTCCCACTGCAGATAAGATCTGGAAGCAGGTTTGCTTGGCAGGGTTTTGCACCAAGTAAAAGTCGTTCACTTGTCAGCATCAGGGAATCTTAGTGCGGTAAGTCAGAGCTGTTTCAACAAGTTATCACAATTGAGCTTTTGAACTTATTTCCATACAGCAAGGAAGTGCATGTAGCTTCAAGCCACATAACTTGCTAGACCTGGGCAAACCAGAGCACTTGACAGCAGAGCCAAGCCAAAAGGCTTAGCTGGGATCAACGAACTGTTAGAGCTGACTATACACATTTGAAAAAAATATTACATAAAGTGATATGTATCTAAGGTCACTGTGGAAGCCAGGAAGTAATGCCAAAATGTTCTTGCAGACTTCTCCCTTCCTTGGCTTGCCCTCATTCACGGACAGCAAGCCCAGCCTGAGCCAGCAGTCAGCGCAAGCTCTTGCTGGCTCACCCACCTCTGACAGCTAATGGGTCATGTTGCAAATTC